CTCTTACTCCACCAGCGAAGGTGGGAGTAAGCGCCGTCGACAGGAAGCCGCAGAGGTCGATTTTGCCACCGTCCCTACAGCGGGGTAAGTCGGCTGCGATACGTCAAATTCAGCTACGCTATTCGCGTAGCTGAATTTGCGTATCTTAAATCGACCCCCCTCTGTAGTGAAGACGTAGCCTTAGGCTCCTTTTAAAACCCCAGCCTTAAGTTTTCAAACAACCACATTTTGAGGTTATATAGTGTAATAATGACTGCACACAGTGCTCTCTTTAACAATAATGATCCACATTAGCTTTTTGTGGTGCTTATGTCATAGAAAGTTCTGGATCACATTCACTTCATGCATGGCCCTATGCTAGGGGATTCCCCATACCTCTGCATTTTCTTGTGATTCAAGAATGCTCAACATGGAATATGCCCGACTGCTATATATGTAGTTACTCTAGCAAATATTTAGAATAACTCTTGCCATTGCTAAACAATATTTATTTCTGTCTGGTCAGAGTATATTTAGTTCAAGCAGGTCAAACCAGCACATTTTGGCCCTTGATCACAGAGAAAAGAGAATGTCAATAAACCTTCAATCTACCCATTCCTTTCCCTGTTTAAATGTCACTATGGTAATAGCCTCTTTGACAGACATGGCGGGCCCTTCCCATGAAAATGAACATTATCGGGTTGGACATTCCCACTGGATTCTCTGACTATCTGATTCCATAGAAGGCTGTGGGTGGTAAGGCAAGTTTAGAATTGACTATCTGCTAGCAATGGTCTTTGGGGAAAGAGCTATCACAACATTTTCCAGACTTTAATTACAATTAGGATCTACAAATGCTGAGTTATGATAAGCTATGGAGCTTTTGCCAAATTGCTATCGTGTTTTGCAAATTTTCTCTCATGAAAGAGACCACAGCTTTAGAAGCAACAGAAAATTCCATGGGACACATTATACGGGGTAGCAGGCAGACTCTCTCCAAAATTACCCTGACAATCCTCTCTGTTTCCCAGCCAGGGACCTTGTTAAGGTGACAAAGATCATGTCATTTAACTCAGGGAAAATTCAATGCATTTGAAAAATAACTAGCATTTGAAACAAACAAAAAGTTTCCTCACAAAGTTCATCGCATTTTGATACAGTGCAGTGTGTAACTTCAGCTGGCTATTTTACGAAATGATGTGAACTCCTTAGACTCTGCTTCATTAACTTAATGGTGGTTTAAGCTTCCTTCTCCTACTCTCTCTAAGTCTGGGAAATTTATTGAGACATTATGTTACTCATTTTTTATACAGTAGACACAAAATTCATTGTACAGCCAAAAGCATATGAGTGAGGAGGATTTAGAAAAATCTCATCCTATCCCTATCATTGAGAACACATATCATAGAATATAGAATATCAGGGTTGGAAGGGACCTCAGGAGGTCTTCTAGTCCAACCCCCAAAGCAGGACCAATCCCCAGACAGATTTTTGCCCCAGACCCTTAAATGGCCCCCTCACGGATTGAACTCACAACCCTGGGTTTAGCAGGCCAATGCTCAAACCAAGTCTTTCAAATTAGAAGACGAGTGCTCCTTTTATATGGTACAGCCAACCCTTACAGACCAGTTGAACTGTGCCAGCCAGTCAGCTCTTCACCCCAATTTCCTGCATCTGGAAACTTCCTTCCATTCTTAATTTAATGCAGAATTCAGAACCCAACTACTAGTGAGCCATTGCTAACTAGAGATTTCAGCTGTGCACACTCAAATCTGCAGTGGAATTTAAGGCTTTCCAGATGCTGAACTGCAAGAGACCATGTAAAACTATGTTTTGCCAAAGATTAAACCCCTAGTAAAAGGTAAACGCAGACAGCTAGATGTGAGGCAGGCAACAGTGACACAGTAGGCCCCAGCAGAGTGGCTGGACCTCAGATTCATCATTAAGATAAAGAAGGTATTCCTGTGGATGGGCACAAGGGTCTACCTATGTAGATCAGACTGCAGGATTAGGACCCAGGTTAGAATCATAGGACTGGAACGGACCTCAAGAGGCCATCTAGTCCAGTCTCCTGAACTCATAGCAGGACTACGTATTATCTAGACCATCCCTGACAGGTGTTTGTCTAACCTGCTCTTAAAAATCTCCAATGATGGAGATTCCACAATCTCCTTGGCAAATTTATTCCAGTGCTTAACCATCCTGACAGCTAGGAAGTTTTTCCTAATGTCCAACCTAAACTGCCCTTGCTGCAATTTAACCCATTGCTTCCTGTTCTATCCTCAGAGGTTAAAGATAATAATTTTTCTCCCTCCTCCTTAGAACAATTTTTATGTACCTCAAAACTGTTATGTCCCCTCTCAGTCTTCTCTTCTCCAGACTAAATAAACACAATTTTTTCAATCTTCCCTCATATTTCATGTTTTCTAGACCTTTAATCATTTTGGTTGCTCTTCTCTGAATTTTCTCCAATTTGCCCACATCTTTCCTGAAATGTGGCACCCAGAACTGGACACAAAACTCCTTGTCAGCCAGGAGTAGAGCAGAAGAATTACTTTTCACATGTTGCTGACAACACTCCTGCTAATACATCCCAGAATGAGGTTTTCTTTTTTGCAAGTTTTACACTGTTCACTCATATTTAGCTTATGATCCACTATGACCCCCAGATCCCTTTCTCCAGTACTCCTTCCTAGGCAGTCATTTCCCATTTTGTATGTGTGCAACTGATTGTTCCTTCCTAAGTGGAGTACTTTGCATTTATCCTTATTGAATTTCATCCTATTTACTTCAGACCATTTCTCCAGTTTGTCCAGATCATTTTGAATTTTAATCGTATCCTCCAAAGCACTTGCAACCCCTCCCAGTGTGCTATGCCATTATCTAAATCATTAATGAAGATATAGAACAGAACTGCACCCAGAACTGATCCCTGGAGGACCCCACTTGATATGTCCTTCCAGCTTGACTGTGAACTGCTAACTACTCTCTGGGAATGGTTTTCCAGCTTGTTATACACCCACCTTATAGTAGCTCAATCTAGATTATATTTCCCTCATTTGTTTATGAGAGGATCATGGGAGACCGTATCAAAGTCAATATATTCTACATCTACCACTCCCCCCTTTTCCCCCTTATCCACAAGGCTTGTTATCCTGTCAAAGAAAGCCATTAGGCTGGTTTGACACAATTTGTTCTTGACAAATCTATGATGACTGGTTTCAGAGTGGTAGCCGTGTTAGTCTGTATCAGCAAAAACCCTGTTAGTCTCTAAGGTGCCACAAGGACTCCTTGTTGTTTTTTTTTATGATGACTGTTACTTATCACCTTATTATCTTCTAGGTGTTTGCCAATTGATTGCTTAATTATTTGCTCCATTATCTTTCCAGGTACTGAAGTTAAGATGGTTGGTCTGGAATTCCCCAGGTTGTCCTTATTTCCCTTTTTATAGATGGGCACTATATTTGCCCTCTTCCAGTCCTCTGGAATCTCTCCCATCTTCCATGACTTTTCAAAGATAATCGCTAATGGCTCAGATAGCTCCTCAGTCAGCTCCTTGAGTATTCTAGGATGCATTTCATCAGGCCCTGGTGACTTGGAGACATCTAATTTGTCTAAGTAATTTTTTAGTTGTTCTTTCCCTATTTTAGCCTCTGATCCTACCTCATTTTCACTGACATTCACTGTGTTAGATGTCCAAGTAACACATTCTCTCCCCGCCCCACCATCAAGTAACAGGCCTACCTTGTCCTTGGTCTTCCTCTTGCTTCTAAAATATCTGTAGAATGTTTTCTTGTTACCCTTTTTATTTATGTTATTTGTTTATATTCATCCCTTGTAATTTGGCCTATTTTCCACTTTTTGTAGGACTCTGAGTTTCAGATAATTGAAGATCTCCTGGTTGAGCCAGGGTGGTCTCTGGCCATGCTTCCTATCTTTCCTATGCAATGGCATTGTTTGCTCTTGTGTCCTTAATAATGTCTTTTTGAAAAACTGCCAACTCTTTTGAACTGTTTTCCCCTTTAGACTTGCTTCCCATGGGATCTTACCTACCAACTCCCTAAGTTTGCTAAAGTCTGCCTTCTTGAAATCCATTATCTTTATTCTGCTGTTTTCCCTCCTACCATTCCTCAGAATCATGAACTCTACCATTTCATGATCACTTTCTCCTAAGCTGACTTCCGCTTTCAAATTCTCATCCAGTTCCTCCCTATTTGTCAAAATCAAATCTAGAACAGCCTTTCCCCTACTGGATTTCTCCACCTTCTGAAATAAAAAAATGTCTCTGGGTTAGTAGAAGATGGCCTTTACGGAACATTCCAGTGTTTGTGAACCACTTCTTTGGTTCTTTCCTTTTCAATTTTAATGCATCTCCACAACAACAACAAAAAGTTGACTTCATCTTCTTGGGTAAAAATACCCTGCATGACTCAAAGGAAAAATTTCCTCTTTTTATTTTTCTGTCAATAGAATTTTGTTGTCTTTTTCTCTTCTAACAAATACTCCTGTTTTAGGGCAAATGCACTTTACCCATTTTAAATAATAATAAAGAAAAGATATATTCATCCAGAGTTGATAAATAGACAGTATATGTCAAGCAGTTCTCAGAAAGTGAGGTGGCTTTAATAATCTGTATCACATTATTATTTCTCTCTCATAACTTTATGGCTTATAGGCAGGAGTTTAGGCACTTGCAGCCTTACCTCCCTGAAGAGTAATGTATAAGGATGGTAATGCATCATGACCTCAACAAATGTTCTATTTAAACAGTATTATGATTCCCAAAAGCAAAACATATTACAGCCTGGGATGTCTTAGGTTTTAATATAATTCATGCATTTCCTTTTCTGACTTTTTTTATTGCTGGAAAAACTTGCTCCACTAAAGTTTACTATTTCCCCCTCCCCCTTAAACATATAGGACAAGATTTAAATGTGTGTTACACAGGTGTAAATCTGAAATAACTCCAATGAAACTATCCCTAATTTGAAATAGTGTCAGCAATGAGACATCTGACTTACTGAGGTTCCATTTTAAGCCCGTCGTAGTAACGTTGTAACAAGGGTTCCCAACTGGAATGAGGCCACACCACTTGCTTTCAAGTCCTGTGTTTACATGCAGTTTGTGCTTTCCCTGCAATACAGAAAGAAGTTTTCTTTAGACAGTAGCAACCAAGGACCAGGAAGCCATTTATACAACACATTTTAAAAATACAGTAGAACACATCTGAATTAGAGACAAGACTGATCTTAATTCTCCCAAAGTTCAGAAGTATTTGGATCTGGGATTTCAGTGCGGCCTATCATACAGAGAGAGGGACCAATCAAAGATCCAGATTTGAAAGTATGGGATTTTGAATCTGGGCTTTTGGTTTGGTCCGGTCCCATCTCTAATCTGAATCCAATACTGAATCTGTACTAGCATTCACATCCAAAGTTAGATTGTTTTTTTCCTCCATTTTGGAGGAATCCTGATCTAGTCATTAATTTTTTTTAAACTGTTGACTTCCCACGTAAGCTGTGTAACACTTTAGAAACAAAACTAGGCAAAACTTACCTAGTTTGGGGGTTCATCACAAAGCCAAAATTTTGGTCACATTTGTAAGTTTCATGTACTTTCCTTTCTGGAAAAAGTTCTAAACCAGTAATGAAACTAATGGGATTCTACAAAGTTTAAAAGGGTTCCAGAGAAATAAATCTAAAATCTATGGAATTTAAGAAAATGACACCCCCCTTTTTAGGTTTTTAAACAGCATCCAAAATAATTCCATAGCAGGGATACAATTATCTTAAATATGTTGATATAGAAAAAGTTATTTTCTATTATGTATTAAAGGACTTTTCCATAAGGGTTTGCGTGAATCTTAGCTGAATTATAATTTGGAGTGAAAATTAATACTTGTTTCAAATGAAACTCATAAGGGGTGAACCCATTTGAAATATAATGATATAAGAACACTATAGTACGACATGCAGTGAAACAAACTCTCTATTGAAACTGAGTTTCTCATATCTCTAATGATAACTCATTTCATAGCTGTTAATATTCTCTGAAAGAGCTACTTTTAGTGATGAATTATTTAGGCTTATATTTGGCATAATACCCTTCTATTAGCTGTCCTAGACCCCCAATTCAGCATATTACTAACTTTAAGCATGTAAGTAGTCCCAATGAACTAAAGAAGAGTAGACGGTGCATTTCACAGTACAGGGACAATAATTACACTGGTCTACAATTTTTGAGTAGTCGTCTGCTTCAGAGATAAAATGTGCTATTTATTATGTATTTTGATGTGCTGAATTCAAATATGACAATTAAAACAACTGATTGGCTACTGTTTCTAAGATATTTAAGTTTTTACATTTTATGTCTATGTATATTGTGTAGAGAGTAGAGTTTTAATCATAAATTGTAAACCTAGGTCTTTTCATGTGTTTATGGTTGCTTTACATGATAATATTTCACCTGTCCTGTTTATGTAACACTTTAAAAATCAGCAAAAGGGTTATATAAATAAAATTTATTATGAAACAAAAGGCAAAAAACTATTATGTACATAGTTTAGTCCTATTCAGTGTCTACTCGGCGCTTCTTGGCTTGTCTCTTGTATTCATTAAATGGAGCATCTCTTGTCACTGTCCAGCAATAGTCTGCAAGCATTGATGGGCTCCATTTGCCCTGATAGCGTTTCTCCATTGTTGCAATGTCCTGGTGAAATCGCTCACCGTGCTCGTCGCTCACTGCTCCGCAGTTCGGTGGAAAAAAATCTAGATGAGAGTGCAAAAAATGTATCTTTAGTGACATGTTGCAACCAAGGCTTTTGTATGCCTTGAGGAGGTTTTCCACCAACAACCTGTAGTTGTCTGCATGTTGTTTCCGAGAAAATTTATTGCCACTAACTGGAAGGCTTTCCATACCGTCTTTTCCTTGCCACGCAGTGCATGGTCAAATGCATCATCTCGAAGAAGTTCACGAATCTGAGGACCAACAAAGACACCTTTCTTTATCTTAGCTTCACTTAACCTTGGAAATTTTCCACGGAGGTACTTGAAAGCTGCTTGTGTTTTGTCAATGGCTTTGACAAAGTTCTTCATCAGACCCAGCTTGATGTGTAAGGGTGGTAACAAAATCTTCCTTGATTCAACAAGTGGTGGATGGAACACTTTTCCTCCCAGGCTCCAATGACTGTCGGAGTGGCCAATCTTTCTTGATGTAGTGGGAATCTCTTGCACGACTATCCCATTCACAGAGAAAACAGCAGTACTTTGTGTATCCAGTCTGCAGACCAAGCAAGAGAGCAACAATCTTCAAATCGCCACAAAGCTGCCACTGATGTTGGTCATAGTTTATGCACCTCAAAAGTTGTTTCATGTTGTCATAGGTTTCCTTCATATGGACTGCATGACCAACTGGAATTGATGGCAAAACATTGCCATTATGCAGTAAAACAGCTTTAAGACTCATCTTCGATGAATCAATGAACAGTCTCCACTCATCTGGATCGTGAACGATGTTGAGGGCTGCCATCACACCATCGATGTTGTTGCAGGCTACAAGATCACCTTCCATGAAGAAGAATGGGACAAGATCCTTTTGACGGTCACGGAACATGGAAACCCTAACATCACCTGCCAGGAGATTCTACTGCTGTAGTCTGGAGCCCAACCGCTCTGCCTTACTCTTGGGTAGTTCCAAATCCCTGACAAGGTCATTCAGTTCACCTTGTGTTATGAGGTGTGGTTCAGAGGAGGAGGATGGGAGAAAATGTGGGTCCTGTGACATTGATGGTTCAGGACCAGAAGTTTCATCCTCTTCCTCGTCTGACTCAAGTGAGAATGATTCTGGTGCATCAGGAACCGGCAGTCCTTCTCTGTGGGGTACTGGGCGTATAGCTGATGGAATGTTTGGATAATGCACAGTCCGCTTTTTCTTCTTTGACACACCTTTCCAAACTGGAGGCACCATGCAGAAGTAACAATTGCTGGTATGATCTGTCGGCTCTCTCCAAATCATTGGCACTGCAAAAGGCATAGATTTCCTTTTCCTGTTCAACCACTGGCGAAGATTTGTTGCACAAACGTTGCAGCATATGTGTGGGGCCCACCTCTTGTCCTGATCTCCAATTTTGCAGCGAAAATAAAGGTGATAGGCTTTCTTAACCATAGTGGTTATACTGTGCTTTTGTGATGCAAAAGTCACTTCACCACAAACATAGCAGAAGTTATCTGCACTGTTCACACAAGTACGAGGCATTTCTGCTCACTTTGGCTAAACAGAAATGTGTCCCTTTGCAAAATCAAACACTGACAAATAAGAGAGCACGACACTGTATGATTTCTGGAGCTGATATAGGGCAATTTGTTCAGCAGAGTGATGTAAGCATTGTTATGATTGCATCATCCATGACTTCTAGGAATAACATGATGCAATTCATATCATGTATGACGCAATACCAGCTTCAGATTGCATCATTCATTGTTTTGCCTAAAAAGCAAGTACTGTCCAAACCCAGTCATAGATTTATTCATAGATCCAGTCAAAGATGTATTTTAGTCATTTCTGGTTTAAATTTAGATCCCTTCCCTTTATAACTCACTTACCCTCCGCCATTCCCAAGTCAAGGGTCGTATATACTGACCCAATAGCATATCTTGAAAACTAGAGCCAATCAACAACTTTAAGCATCATTTTCATTCTCAGTGACCCAGAATTAGTAAAGTTTGACTACATTTATTTCAGAAGCATTTTGGCTGTAGAGCAGTGTTATCTGTACTCAGTTATATATGAAATTGTTTCCTGTAACAGAGCTAGCAGGAAACATCAAGGAATGAAAGATGGAAATTGTGCCAATATTTGTGGGAAAAAATATCAGATTCTTCCTGTATAATTAATTTGTTCTACATAACAAAAGAGATAAGATGCTTCAGAAGCACATGATTTTGGCTTTTATTCTCTCAGCTGCATGGGAGCACTTAACTTCTGTAAGTGCTAATCGGAGTCACAGACATAATTCCCTCTCACAACAGTGAAAAATTTAGATTTTTTTATGGCTTATTAATTTCTCTACCAAAATGGGTATTTAAAAAAAATACAAAACCAAGAAACCTAAAATGTATCACTTACAGAGCGTATTATAAAGACTAAAATCCTGTTTAAAGCAAAAGAAAACTAGTTGTGTAACTCAAGCAATATCCTAAGTGGCAAGTAAATAACCTTTTACTGAAAGAAAATATTGTAAGCTTCAGCCTTGTATTTCATGTTTCCTCTCCTACAGCAGCCTCCACCACTGTGAAGTGACAGTTAGAAGACGAAAATGAAGGAAAAATACCTTACTGCCAAGATGAATTATCTGAGGTGTTTAACAAATTCTACTGCTTATGCCAAATACCTTATAAAAATCCTCAATATGAGCCATGCTCTCAGTTATCAAATGAACCTTAGAAAAGCTGTCAATTAAAAACTATCAGAGTTAATAGCTTTAACCTGTTTGATTGTTTGCAGAGCAAGACGGAGAACAGTTCGACATTGACTACGTCCAGACTACCCGCCGTATCGGCGGGTAGCGATCGATTTATCGGGGATCGATATATCGTGTCTCGTTAAGACGCGATATATCAATCCCCGAACATGCTCCCCGTTGACTCCGGAACTCCACCGGAGTGAGCGGCGGTAGCAGAGTCGACAGGGGAGCCGCGGCTGTCGATCCGATGCCGTGAGGACGGGAGGTAAGTCGGAATAAGATATGTCGACTTCAGCTACAGTATTCCTGTAGCTGAAGTTGCGTATCTTACATCGACACCCCCACCCCCAGTGTAGACCAGGCCATTGTCAATCTTCTCAAATCACAGAACTTCACAAGGTGCTGAGCCACAGGTTTCCAGGGGTACTGTGGGTGCTCCACAAATGCAGGTATTTACAAATTCATGCCGAATGCCCTTTTAGAAATGCAACAGGCGTAGCTATTTCTCTACTGCAATGTTTCTCATATCTTGTGAGCATTACTTTCCTGGGAAATTGCTCTGGGCCCTGGTCTACTCTACAAACTTATGTTGGTATAACGTCCCTAAGCAATGCAGTTATACCAATCTAACTGCTGGTGTAGTCAGTGCTGTGTTGACAGGAGGGTTTCTCAT